GAGATGTTCGAGGCAGCCTGAGTCCTGCCCCAGGACTGCGCGTCGGAAGCCGCCCGAGTTTGTACCTCGGCGAGCTACCGTCTCCATGGCTCCGGTCTTCCAGCTGGCGGGCGGTGCAGAGAACGGCTGGGACCGGTCAGTGTCACGCCGTTGACCTTTAGCGAACCCTGGCTTGTGGACACCTGTCTGCCATGTCAACGGCGCACTGACCAGATGGGCCTGGGACGTGTCCGGAGTACCTGCCGGTATTAGTTCGACTGCTGCATGAGAACGACGTCCTCACACTTCGGAGCGTCTGTGGCGGGCGTTTCCAGTTCAGCAGAAAACAACTAGCCTGGACGCACGTGTTGAGCTACGCTCAGGTGTCTGCGCAACTGATATTCGTCGTAAGCGCCTGACAGCCTGTATTCCGTTCCTCCGAGAGACTTAACTGCTGAATGTGAACATAGGAACGCACCTAGGACATGGCCTTAGAGGGACGTGTTAACTGTTGTGTTTCGGGAGACGGAATTTGTACTAGAGATTGTTAGTCTTCTGTGTGTAGTCTATGTGTTTGAGTGTGTAATGAAAGGTGTTTTTGTGCCACACACTGTGTCCCCTTCATGCGTTCATCCCACTTGACTGAGCCAGGCGACAAAGTAACGTGACAGCATCTAACTTTGCTATTTCTGCAACGTTTTGAAAAATTCTCACAGCTCCATGCTTATTGTGCACTCGTGCACAATTTACCCACCACAAGTGAATTTCGACATCTGGGTGGTCTATGGTCCCTTTACGACTTATGAAGACTCCGATAATGTGAGTAATACATTTATTGCGTTTGTGTATTCACTGTTTGCCAGCATATACGCAGCTTCGGCTATGCTAAAACATGCAAATAGCTCATGCGTAGTCATATTTTTCAGCCCAGAGATTATGCACTCTTCTGCCCGCAACGCAAATGCTGAGATGTACCCACTTACACTTGATCGTGTCAAATGCATTTTTACCTCGACTAAAATATCGAATGGTGAAGACAACCAGTTGCTTCCACCGGCCAATGAAGGCCAATGTTTCCACAAACAAACACGGTTCGCACTGCACACACCCCGCACAACATTTTGTTTCATCGTCCATACAGGTGAACCAATATTGTCGATGGCTTTTAACGCACACGTGCACATTTTCAAAGACAATGCTGCTGTTCCTTGCACAGGCCGCCACGTGTTCACTTCTCAAAGATAAACAGCCAGCCAGCGGGGCAAATATTTCATCACGCAGTTTATCACACACGTAGATGTTCTTTGGCACATAGCACATCTTATCTTGCCATAGTAAACTGAAGTTTAAGCATTTAATAAAAAAAAAAAAGCTTGTCCTAAGCACCACGTGACTGTACCATGCTAAGCCACCAGCGCGGGTGTTTTGCCAACCACCGCCTAGCACATGCGTCGTTGATATAATGCTGTGACACACCCTACTGGATGTATATTTCTTGGCTCGAAAAGTTCTACTACTGATGCTTAGCCTATCTGTGAAGGCATCTCCTTAACTAAGGCTCTAAAGATGGTTCTACAACTTGCACCCAGCATAGAATGGCAGAAGTGCCCCGAATTACCGGAGCACAATAGTCTTGTGAATACATTCCTATTACAGTCACATCTCGTTATACTGAAACTTAAATTAATGATTTCTCAGATTATTGACTTTTTTGAAATATTCCCCCTCCCCCCCCCGATGTCCATTGGTACAATGTAAAGATGCTTCACTACTGAGAATTTCAGAATACCGAATGTTTCAGATTGTATCGAATTTTATCCCCTTATATCCCCACAACACTTCAAAATAACGAATAGAGATCGTGAAAAGTTATTCGCAGCTGTAAAAACAATGCCCACTATCGTACCTGCCACTATCATCATCATCAGAACGCCCACGTAGTTCTCTATTAGCTTGCCCTCATCAAATGTGCAACAGCCCTATCGCCATCGTCATCACCTGGGTACTTGGTTTTTCGTATAGCTTTTTGCATCAGGCTTCACCCTGTTTCCATTGTTTTTGTCGGGCAGCTTTACTTGTGCGCTTGTTCTACGGCTGTTTTCTGGCCTTTTGGCTGGTGGTGAAAGGTTCAAGATGAGTTGCGAAAGCAGCACAAGAGGAATGCTATGACGGAGAAAAATGCGACGCAAGTGACCTATGGTAGGATTACCCATGCATGCTTGACCGATGATTACCCGTGCATGCTTCACTAACACTCGCACACGTCACACAGTGCGACGAGAACGTAGCTGATGACCGATATGATCCATACGATTTGTCGTGATAAGAAAACGGCGATGAGTTTAAAGACGACGTTGAAACGGTCCATGCGCACCAACGTAAAGAATGGGTAATGCCTATGCTTCACAGTGGATAAGAAGGATGCGCACGCTTGAGAGTTTCTCTTTCAGCAGTCGATCAGGATAGATCGTGCTCTGCCTCAAAAAAGGTGCATTGGTTTCGTAATATTTTGTGTCTGTTTTTTTTCTCGCTTGTTTGAGTATAATGCGGTTGCGAACGTACAACCAGCACAGGTAGATGAGTCACGTGTTCCCATTTACAGTTTTTGCGCAAATTTTTAACACTTTCGCTAAAACTTTTAAAAATAACGAATGATTTTCAGCGGTCCCTTGAGATTCGTTGCATCAAGATTTCACTGTAGACACTAATAAGAACTAACAGACAGTCAAATGAAGGAAAGTATATGGGTTGTAGCAATTGTAGTAGTTTGTAGTAATTATGCCATATGTGAAACAAAAGTAAAGTGGACGGGTAGGCAACTTGAAACCAGCAGGGACCAAACATGCAACCTTCGAATAACTTACCTAATGCCCTATACTCCCTATAGTATTCGCCTTGGCTTGACTGTCACTACTCATAAATGCCGTGACCAACCAAGAAAAACGAGCCTTTAAAATTGCCCTTCTTTCATTCATCCACAGAATTTTTATGGGTGACACACTCTCCTAAATTCATTTTTGAGGAGGCCGACTTTGAAAGGGTACTTGAAAATATGCTGTAGTTTTATTTCTCGCCTTTGTTGCCAATTATCTAGATGTGTAGCTTGTACACGTACAGTATATACAGTAGATATTCACGAATCCAATGTAAAATCACATTTTTTAATGTAACAACTAGCACGCACCATTGCCCGAGATAACCACGTCATGTCGTGACGAATGCAGTTTCTACAGATAATGTTGGCTCTGCTCTTTGCAGTTCAATCAAAACTACGCTGACATGACCCGAGGTGAAGACAGTGAAAACAAAAAGTTCGGGAGCTACTTAGCCCCAGATTGTCCCGTTTCAATTCTTAAAGGGTACACATGCAGCAACGTAGCCCATCTCATTTATTAGTGGTGTCATTTATCTTGAAAATCAGATTTATATTAACTATATTTTGATTACACTCCTTCTTAGGCCTGTCAGCACTGTATTATTTGGAAAAGGGTAAGCAAATCATGATGGTAGTGCGCTGGGCCAGTTCATGTAACATACTGTACAGTGGTTGCAAGCGACTTGTAAAGCTGGAAGGGTACTAAACTTTAATAAAGGCCAACTGCAATGCAATTATGCACACCAGGAAAATCGGGGGACCCTTAATCTTTGCCTTTGAGAGTTGAACACAATAGCGATATTCTGTTCCTAGTGTGTATGTCAAACACTTTGTGTATAAAATCTTTTCGAACGTGCTAAGCACCCACTTCGTGGCCTTAAGGGTGCAGTGGCCTGTGTGCCTTTTGTAGCGGGTGACTGGCTTTAAATGATGAAGTCATTATGATAATCCAAACTTCTGACGCATGATGGCAATCTACGCTTGCACCACACATTAGAAACATGTATACAAAAAGCCTATGTTTGTAAAGCATGAACGTTACTTTCACTGCCTTTTCAAGCAGAAAAAGTCTTTTTCACTAAATTCACAAGCAGGGGTCTGGCTGTGTGGTAGAACACCTGCTTGCCACGCAAATGACCCCGGTTCAAACCCAAAAATCTTTCTCAATTTTGCCGTCATGCAAAGATAGCTGATTTTTCCGTCACGTAAAGATCATTTTCCACACAAAACCAATGACGCCAACGCCGGAATTTCAGCGAAATGAGCTTTTTAGAGCTGTCACAGTAAAAGATTATTTACAGGCAGTCTAGCTGAGAACAATGCTACCTGCCAAATATTACCATCAGAATGTAAGGAGTTACCCAAGAATGCAAGGAGTTACCCAAGAAAAAACTCTCGAACAATGCATGGTAGACGAAGAAAGTGCTTAACAGTGCAAACGACAGGAGCGGATGAAAAAGACGAGAACAGAGCACTGAACTAACAACCAAAGTTTATTGCAAACCAACTGAAATATATAGGAAAACCGAATCTCCACATAACCACGCAATATCAGCAAAATCGCACATACATGTTCCAAACGACCTACCTTATCATGAGCCAGTCATATCAGTAGACCCTAGATAACAGTGGACCCTAGTTAAAGCTGCCCAATGAAAACGAAGGCAACAAGACGAAGTCTGACACGAAAAGGAAGTACCACGTGGTGATGATGGCAATAGGGTTACCGATTTGAATAGGGCAGGCACACAGGGAAACATCTGGGTGCTCAGATAATGATAGTGGCAGGCATTACTTCCACAGCCACAAATAACCTTTTAAAATTGCTACCTTGTAGTGTTGTTGAGGTATAAGGACAATAAAACTCGATACGATATTCTGAAACATTCAGTATTCTGAAATTCATAGCAGTAAGACATTTTTACATTATACCAATGAACATTTGGTGGGGGGATTTTCGAAAAAAGTTGTTGATCTGAAGCGAAAATCCTTGATCAAATGTTAGCTGTAGCGAGATTTGACTGTATATACTATCTGGATTCAATCTAGAATCATTCCACCACATCAGTATTTGCTTCGAAACATTGTCATCCAAACTTTCCAAAGCATGCTACAGCAAAAAAAAAGTGCAGGAGAGTGCACTTGCATCGCAGTGGTCCTGATAGAGTCGCCGGAACGCCTCCACGTCCTTTTTGGTGAGTCCATCGGGAAGGGAGCCGCCGCCAAAGTCCACCTCGGCTAGCACAGGAACGGCCGCGGAGGCATCGCCCAGAAACTGCAGATGCTGCTGTGCAGGTTGCTGAGCCGCGATGGGCGGCGCTGCGCTGGCGGTCGACCCTGGCGCGTCGGCTGCCTGGCCTTGGCTTGGCATGGCTGTACCGGACTCCGGCGCGTCTGACAGGCCGGATTTGGTCCCGCTCAACCGAAATCTGCAAGCACAGTTTTTGTTGGGGTAAATACGCAACCAACCAGACAACAGAGATATTTGTATTAGGCAATAATTCTATTTGAAGGGACTGTGTACTGTTCATTATCACTTTTTTCTGTTTTTTATCATGATAAGAAGCGTACGTCTGAAGTGTCCAACACTGCAACTCTCTCTGGAAAGCAAGAAGAAATTTTAAAAAAAGAATTTTTTTATCTGCGTTCAGTCTTCTTCGATTGGTGGGACAAATTTACACAACACTGGTTAGTGGAGCAATTGTAGTGCTGGTGAAACTTGAAAACTGAAATTGTGTGCAGGTTTTTCATGCATCATCGAGCTTTGTTTTATTATAAAACAAACACCCCAATGGCCGTTTAAAGCAAGCAAATTGTCTAATAAAGTATTATTACTACAGTTTCCTTAGCTTAGTTTAGTTAGCCTAAGAAAACACCACAGTAGAGTAGAAAAGTTGCTCTGACCCGGCAAATCTGGCACTGTGAGACATACTGTAGTGGTTCCACTCGTGCCAAACGTGCTACTAAAACGAACAAGAGATGTGCTTCACGAAAGAACACAAGGCCTGTGCTGTCTCTCACTTATGGTAAGGTGTTCAGTGCAGCATATGTGATATGGGAGCCAGCATGAAGGCCTTGGTAAAGTGGCACGTGAGAGCAAAATTTTCAGTGCAGGACCTCAGATGTGCTACTTATGCACGAGGACACGCACATCGCTACTTGACCCCACTTTGGCTTTACGGTCACGGTTAGGGAAATTCCACGAAGTCAGTCGGCTGCTATTCACCACAGTTGTTGTTTTTTGTTTGTTATTTCTTATGAGCCACACCTGCCACTGTGCTCGTGCTTGTCCGCATTAGGAAGGGGCCTTTTTGAACCCGTGAGATAAAAAAGCAAAAAATGCTCTCTGGCACAACGTAAGACTGACTCAATTTCAAGTTATGCGTGTTCGTTTTTAAGCAAAGTAAGTTTACATGCGAGGATAACTTGACCTACTAGTAGATTGACCACATCGCTGTTAGTGATGCTGGCGGTAATTTTTTGTCGACTTTCAACAAATCAAAATCATGATTCTTTTTTATGGGACAAAAGCATGCTCGCAACGGCCAATGTGGGGAAAGGTCTCATTTTTGCCACAATGAGAAAAAAACTTTCGCGAGTGGTCGATAGTTCCTTTAAAGGGTCCAAACAGCGAAAGTTTTGTTGATGACTTTTTTTACTAGAATTTATAGCTTTACGCTCGTGTGGTGTTTAGGTTTCATGCAAAGCTAGTTTCAGTTTCATGTATTTTCGCCCTTAGGGGGTGCTACCCTGTGTATATATGCGCGGCATTGTATTTAATAAAAGAATTCCTGCCTGGGTGCTGCGTATTTCTTGTCGGCCGGCACTTTAGCGCCGTGCCCTGCATTTTTCGTGTGGCGCGTCCGCCGCACAACACTCCATTTTCGCGACGAGGATGAGATGTTACAGTTGTAAATACAGTAGTTTAAGGTTGTACAAGTTCTATGTGTCATACCACTGGGCTAAAAATTGTACAAGGTTATGCAAGTTACCTATGTGCCATTATTAAGAGGGGAGGCTACCCTGGAGACCGAACTTTTTTTATTTTTTAAGATATCTGGATGAAACTTTCAGGGGTTGTTCACTACAATAAAACTAGCACAACTGCTAAGTTTCACGAAGCTGTGTTTCTTAGTTCCAGAGTTATTGAGGTTTAACTGGGTGCTTCACATGGGTGCCTGAGGAAGAGTCGTGAGAAATCCCAGGACATAGTAGAAAGCTGAAATTCATTGTGGTCATTCCTTGATAGCTATCCCAGGGCGCTACAAAGCCGTTTTTTTAAATTTCCCCCCCAAAAAATTTTCACGCAACTTTGAATTTGAAGTAACCAGTAATGACCAGATTCATCAAAAATTAATTGTTTATTATAAATTAACAGCACCAATTTTCAAAAAAAGGAGCTTGTTACGCCCTTGCAAGGTCATTCGGAAACAGAATAAAAAAACGGCACACAAATCTGATGAACGGTTTTCGAGTTCTTGCTTTCCTCAGCACCACAACTATCAAGAAAATCCGTTCTGAGAAAACAGGCCGAGAAAGTTCAAAACACGTGTTTTCTTCAAAAAGCTCCAGCACAGTAGCTAGAAGTGTCCTGGTGCACTCTTTTCTTCTTTTGCCTGGCCTCCATCTTCTCTTGGTGTCTTTTAAAATTCTTTTTTAGGCGTAAAGCGTCTTTTTCACGAGCTCGCTGGATGGCCAGATGACCTGGTTGAAGTCGAATGGAGTCCGATATCACTTGGGTTGCTTTGCAGCAGCCAGCATTGTAGCGCAGCACTGCTTCATGCAGTGCTGTTTCTACCGCGATCAAGGATGAGTGTTGTTCCTTCGGCATCAGAGACCACAGAATGGAGTGGAATGATTCTGATGCATTTTGCGTCTTCGCTCCCAGGCAGCGCTGAAGAAGCGACTTTTGTGACAGTCTTTCGTAGATGGGCAGCATAGCTGCAGCGACATAGTCCGGTAGGCTGTGTTTATGTTTTGGCTGTGGCTCACCCTTTGCCTCTGCAGCTCTATGGCGGCACCACGATTGAGCCCCTTCTGGGCAAAGTTCATGGTGAAGGTCCTGGTCAGTCGATGTGACGTGGTGATATGTTGCCATCACTGCACGCTGCATGGCTGTTAGGTCAGTTGAATTGTTTCTCAGGGCCCAACCATAATATCCTGTCAGCTTTTCAATGAGGGCTTTAGTCAGCTTCCCCTTCCCACTCAGTGGCTTATCACTTTTCTGCACAATGTTTCGAAGAGCACTTCCAATCCTTTTCTGAACATGGTTCAGACATTCTTCTTTTACAATTGGCACTAGCCCATACACATTCTCTTCTGTGAGGGCAGCGAAGGTACGGCTGTCTCCGTCGGACACAAGAGTGGTGTACCGCAGGCCATGCTTGGATACAGACCATCCAAAGAGAGTCAAGCCTGCCTCCACTTCCATGCTTCCCGATTTTGCGTCTGCGTTTTCCGGCAAATGTGGTGGTTCTGCCAGCTTTCGTATGCTGCATCTCCAGGTTTGGGCCCTGTTTGGCATCCAAGGCAGTGGTTTGAAAGAACTACAGCATCCAAGATGAGACCTGTAAAGAAGTCAATTACCGATCCCACTCCGATGTGTGATGTGTGACCCCGCTTATGCCATGTGCCATCGTACACTACGGTGATGTCCTTGCAGAAGCTGGGGTCCATTTCTTTATATGTTTTGATCACTGCTGTGGCAGAATCAGCATAAAACTTCTCCAAAGCGGTGGCCTCTGGCTTCCTGAACGTCTCTTTCAAGTGCTTTTGAAACGTCTTGCGGTGAAGACCTCTGTAAGAGATGTTCACGGCAGCCCAAAAGTCATTAAGAGCTGTTTGCCCCTTGCCTATTTGCTTTATAGCCATTATGGCGCGGACATTTACATCGAAGGCCTGCGTGTCCTTTTTGCGGGGTGATGTCCATAATTTATCGACGGTGCCACAAGAGGCGCACACGACTTCAAGTTTTGTTGCAAGTCCAAGCTTGGTGCTCTCTCGGACAGTCATAGCCCCTTTCAAACATTCTTTGCACACTGTGCGGCTGAGCACGACGTTAAAGATGTTCATTTGAACTAGCGAAAAATGTTCGCCCTCACTTGTCACTGCAGGTGCAAGAGCCGGCTGCATCAGTTGAAATTTCTTCTGCGTCGCCGGCGTAGACTCGAGTTCAGTGCGAACGGCGTCACGACGTTTCGCATTCGCATCGATTCCTTCCTTCGTTAGGAAACGCGTCCGCAGATGAAGCGACGGTCCACTCACGCTCGATGGCGGCACCGATTCAGACGAAGTGCTGGGTCCGGCGATATCAGAAGCACTCGGTGTCACGCTCGATGGCACCGATTCAGACGAAGTGCTGGGTCCGGCGATATCAGAAGCACTCGGTGTCACACTGGATGGCATCGATTCGGAGCACGTGTCGAGCCTGGCGATCTCGGAAACACTCGGTGCATTTGCGGCTCCAGCCACACTCGATGTGTCGGATTCTCGACTGGCGACAGCCGACAACACAGTTCCGTCGCTGCAAGCGTTTACGCAGTCGGCACCCGCAGCAGAATAGCGGAATTTCGATGATCGTGCAAGCCGCATAGCGCGCCTCCGCGCACCGGACTTCCGCACTGACTTCGGCTTCGTTGCCGGCATCGCCCGCAACAACAAAGACGAAAGGCACAGAAATAGTGCAAAAAGAAAAAAAAAAAAACGAGAGAAAATGATGGAAAAGATAGCACAAGGCGAAGAGCGGCTCGTAAGCAGACGTCTGTCGAGGCGGACGGAGCAGAGAGCAACAATGAAGCGAGCGCGCTGGACGCGCCATCGAGAGGAGCGACCGCCCCCGCTGCTGCACAGCAGCCAATGGCGGGCACGCTTTTTCCCGCGAGATATGAATGCGCTGCTCTAGCCAATCAGCGCTCCGTATCGCATCGCGGGAAAACGCCAATAGCGTCTCAACTGTGCTGCCGACGCCATTTTGCAAGGCGGCGAACGAGAGAGAAAGAATTCATGGTCAAAACAATACCAAGATGGCGCGGGACGACCGCATGGTCCGGGAATGGCGCGCGCGCGAAGTTTGGTTTGATTTCGGGATTTGCGCCTGTTTTGGACGCCGGGGTGGCCTCGAAAATAGTATTTTTTTTGCACTTTGCGGTTGAATTAGGTGCGGATAATTACAGAATAGGTAGTTTATGAGACATACAACCCAAAAATGTGGTTTTTTAAAAACCGACTTTTTCGCGATTTTTCGGTTTTCAAGTGCCGCATCCCCCCTTAATTCTAATAATAATTCAAAATAAGGGTAATAGTCTGTATTATACTTTATGTAAGAATCTTAGAGCCACATGTCCTTTTCTTTCTGGGGGGAGATGACGTGGTGTTTTGGTTTCGGTTTCATGTACAGTATTTTCGCCCTTAGGGGGTGCTACCCTGTGTA